ACACAACTACCCCTCACTGTCAGCACTCAGTGAGTCTACAGACTCATCCAGCATCAATATCCGTCCTCTGAGCTACTTTGAGGATGTGACAGCAGCTGTGTCAGAGGTCAGAGATAAACTACAGGACATTCTGAGAGAGCAATGGACAAACATCTCACTGACAGTCACTGAAGTGGAGCCAGAGCCAAAGACCAGAGCTGAATTCTTAAAATATTTATGCAAAATCACACTGGATCCAAACACAGCACATACACAGCTGTTATTATCAGAGGGGAACAGACGAGTAACTTTAATGAATCATCAACAATCCTTTTTGGATCATCCAGACAAATTTACTGGATGGTGGCAGGTCCTGAGTGAACAGAGTCTGGCTGGACGTTGTTACTGGGAAGTGGAGAGGAAAGGGCGAGTTTATGTAGCAGTCGCATACAAGAACATCTGCAGAGCAAAGTGTGGAAATAAATGTGGATTTGGGCATAATGACAAATCTTGGGCATTACATTGTTCCAAAAACTGTTATACATTTTGGCATAACAACACTGAAACTCCCATTTCAGATGTTGGGTCCTCCAGAGTAGGAGTGTACCTGGATCACAGAGCAGGTATTTTGTCCTTCTACAGTGTCTCCAAAACCGTGAGTCTCCTCCACAGAGTCCAGACCACATTCACTCAGCCGCTCTACGCTGGAGTAAGGTTTTACAACAGTTATGGAGATTTTGCTGAGTTCAATAAACCAAAATAGACTGAACTCTTTCATATTGTTGTGGGTTTAAAGTCTGCATTTTATTTTCTCTCCATCATTTTTGCCAATTTCTACACTGCATAGAGTTCAGCTCTCAGTCAACCATTATGGGTGATACATTCTAGTTTTGTTAGGTGGTCTTCTTTCCTTTGTATATCTAGCCATGGAGCCTATCATTGCTCATGATTTTTTTTATTAATAAAAATGCTTCACCACATGAAAATTTAAACTTTTCTTTGCTCTAAATATTTAGGGAATATTTGTATTGATGTATTTGTATACCGTGTCTTCCACTTCATGGGCCTTAACAGTGAAATTAGGATTGTTTCCTTTATCACACAGAATTTATCATCACTTTGTACGTTAGGAAAGAAATGCATAATTACATTTTATCTGTTTAGAAGACCTAACCTTTCTGTTTTTATTTTGTACATACACAAAAATATTAGCCATTCTGTGATCTTTTCTTTTACTTTAGCGTGTGATTAATTTCAGCTGTTTTCCCACCTGTTTCTTGTGCCCTCGTCAACGTGTGTGTATATATATATTGTCTCAGCCTCTCTGTTGTTGTCTCCCTCTGTCGGGTTGTCTGTTTGTCTTGCATTATGTTATTCCAGGTCTCAGGTTTCTTTTATGCTTCTGTTCATGTTGTCTTGTCACAGTTTTGATAGCTAATTTTAAGTTATCCCAGTTTAGATTTCAGTTTAGTTTTTCTCCAGCTTGCTTTGCCTTGTTTTCTGTTTGTGGATTCAGCCTAATAAATGGCTCGCCTTTTGTTTTCTCTCCCGTGTCTGCTTTTGGGTCCACACTGCAAACACACTGGCCCGCCCAGGCTTAACACTATTGTTCAACTACAAAGCTATTTTGAGTTTTACTTTGTGCTTTGGAGTTGTGTGTCCTGCCCTGACAGGTTGTGTGGGAAACTCCCAGTAGATCAGCAAGTTTCTGACCAGCCCATGTGAAATCAATAACCACACCTTTTTCCACTTCACCTTTTGTAAAGTAAAATTATTTCTACTGTGATGGGACTGGACTGAAGTGGGGTCACTGAACATTTGAGGACTAAGAAAATGATGTTAATCATATGCTTTGGCAATCACAAATCTCAACCCAGCAGCACACCTCTGGCAGATTTTGGACTGAAGAAAATGTTCTCACCACCATAATCAAAACACAAAATGACGTATTTTTTTTTTGTTGTTTTTATAGAACTGTGTTCATTTCTCCTTTAGAGTTTCAGACACTTGCAGAATCAATATCATGAAACACTGGAGCTATTCTAAAGGCACATGGTACACAAACAACTTAATAAAAAGCCTTTTCCTTTAATTTCCCATTCCCACTTGTCTTTGTTGCTGAGCTGGTTCTGATCTCTTGTGCTTCTGAAAAATGGCGTCTGAAGCTGTTTTGGTCAGAAAACATTATGTATCAACCACGTGACTGAATACTTTTTGTATCATTCTGAAGGTCCCTAGATCGTAGTATATAGAAGATGGTGGGGGAAAAAAACAAAAAACAAAAACACAATAAACAAACAACAACTTAGTTTTCAAACTTAGTCACTTGATTTCTGTCCCCCTATTCATTGTTAAAACATATAAACACAATTGTTGTACTTATAACTGATGAAAATGCTATATTATAAAACTCACTGTTACTTTAATATTTACCACTTATTTGAATAAAGATCATAAAACTGGAAACACAGCACTAAAAAAATATGGTTAACAATTACATGTAATTAAAATGAAAAATACTGACAGGGCATCAAATTATTTAGCAAAACACACAGAAAAACATTCCTTCTCCCAGGTCATGTTAATAAATAAAATTAGTGTCAGCTTGACAGTTACATGTGTTTGTTTGTTTGTTTTTTTAGAAATGAATGAAAACTATTTGTAATACACACAGTTTAGAGATACTGAATTACAGTTAATAGAGCATAAGCACATATTGTAGATTCTGCAACAATCAGAGCACCTTGTGTGCAGTCACTGTAGACCTCTGCACTAATGGGATGTGCATTTTTACCTTTGTACTAGTTTTTATTCAGTGTGACTGACACTGAAGGTGACATTGTGCATATCCTGTCTGTTTGGGCTCTATATTATCATAGATGAGAAAAGGTTTAGTACTGTAAGAGTTACAGTGGGATGCAAAAGTTTGGGCATCCTTGTTAATAGTCATTATTTTCCTGTATAAATCGTTGGTTGTTTCAATACAAAAATGTCAGTTAAATATATCATATAGGAGACACACACAGTGATATTTGAGAAGTGTTTATTGGATTTACAGATTAACAAGGTTGCCCAAACAGCAGAGGGCAGCAAAAGATCAAATCAAATCAAATCAAATCAAATCAAATCACTTTTATTGTCACATCACATGTGCAGGTACATTGGTACAGCACATGTGATGTGACAATGTACCTGCACATGTGAGTGAAATTCTTGTGTGCGAGCTTCACAAGCAACAGAGTTGTGCAAAATACAATAATGTAAACAAGCAAAATACAATAATGTAAACAAGCAAAATACAAGAATGGCTACATCTGAAACTAATAAATATATGTACAATATATAATAGTATATGCATTTCTGGATGTGTATACTAAATATTTTTCTACGTGT